AAAAAAAAAAAAAAAAAAACAGTTCAGAAAATCATGTCCTTCACATTAATGAGAAACAAACATTTTTAAAATATTACCTACAAACACATTCATCATATCAATGCACAGAGGCAAAGTGTGTGCTTGTTCTCACTCCAGTAACGACCACGTCATCATGTGACATGTGGGTCCAGGCTTATACCCCAGCATACATCTGTAAGCGGGAGGTCCTCCCCTATCCCACAATGCAACCTTGTACATAGAAATTCCTCAGTTTCCTTGGGAACTGTGTGCTCATTCATAACATTTGACTTGCGAGGCTGAGCATTCAGCGATCGCCGTGACAGAGGGGCGGTCAGATGGCATATTTCCGCCGCACACTGTATAATACTGCGCCAAAGTTCTAGACCACCAAAGAAATTACACTTAAATCTATTTATCTGGGCAGTAGGTGCATAATTTCTCAGAAAAACATTTTAACATTAGGATATACAAAAATAAACCGAAATGCAATAAAAAGTAACCACTATTTCTTCTGTTTTCCAAGAAGTTACTGACATCTTGCTGGTTGGCCAGAACACACAAAAACAGATTTCTTCAACTCCAACTCAGTTAATTAGTTAATTAAATTCATGAAGTATTGATCAGCCAAACAAGGTGTGCTGGAGTTCAGCAAATACATGGGTATACTGGATGCTTACTGCATATTGCGAGGTGACAGCAGAAGATTTGTAATGGCTAAGATGACACATTCTCTTGTTACTTTAAGGACGCTGTACAGTATCAGCAGCCGACGGCCGCAAGCGCATGATCTCCCCTCACACCAGGCACACGGACACAGAGCTCATTACACAATAGGAAAGCATCCTCTGTACCGAGACTAACAAACCACCGGGACAGAGCAGCGCAGCAAGAAATCGTTTCAAATGGGTCACGATTCATCAAATTTATACATGTTGCCAAACTGACCCACATGACTTCTCTGGATGTCACCATGATCATTATCCAGGGGTGACTCTGGGATATTTTAATGTGGTAGGCATTAGAGGGGCTATAATTCATGCAGAGGGGATGAACCCTATCATTAGCCAGTGATACGCTGTAAATCAATGAGTGACAGGAAAAGGGGCACTCTGGGGGCCAATCGGCTTTCAGCTGGGGCCGGTGCCGCTGAGGCCCCGCCCCTGTGTACACCTATAACAGTCTTCTTCACACATGAAACTGTGGATTAGTCTCACAGGAGGTCTGTTTAACGCTAAATTTACACGGTCCGGGATTCAGCCGCACACATACCCATGCAGCTGACCACGCTTCACTGATTCTCAGATACGAATTTACATCTGACCTTTGGCAGGCATATCCACGGCAACTGACGGGGCAAAATAAGGAGCCACGATACAGCATTTCACATGATCTCAGGTACCCCAGAGCGGGGCTAATCTACTGAAAATGCCCAGCATCCCCAGGTGACCGCCCCCCCCCCAGCAGAGCGGGACTGCATCACCTCCCCATACGTCACAGACAATTGGCGCATATCAAAAGAAACAAAGAGAATATCAAAGCCTGCCAAAAGTGGGAAGAAAAGCATTAAATATTAATACTAATGGCCAATCTCCCACCTTAAAAGGAGATGCAGTTTAAACCGAACAGCTGGGGGCCACGTCTGGTTTTTATGCCCGGCTTTCTGGTTGCCCCCCGCCCCCCCGTACAGCACAGGCCGTGGCGGGATGCAGGTTATTGCTGTTGTCACTATTGATATTTGTCATTGTAATGTAATTAGGTGCCCTAAAATGATGCATTACAGCCTGAGGCAGCCCTTTTATTAAAATCCTCTCCCCTGCTCAGCGGAGCGGAGCGTCCCCCCCCCCCCCACCCCCACCCCCCCATCGTGCTCTGATGAGAGGCAGACAGACAGCTCAGGGCTGAGGAGCAGATTCATCAGAGACGTTGTTCTCGGCTTTCGGAAGATCGCGAAGTGATGGGGGGGGGGGGGGGGGGGGGGGGGGGGGGGGAGAAGGGTTGGTGGGGGCAAAGAGATACACACAGCCCCCGCCCCCATACCCCCCTACATTTGAATTTTTGGCCACTTGAAATTCTGATGGCATCCATCAGATGGACATGCAGAATGGGCCTTTGGATCACATGGTGGTAGGAGGACTTCCAAGCCAAGCTCCCAGTTCTGGCTGGCCGATGCAAGCTGGGTCACGAAGACGAGACCCTCCTAATTTATTTTAAATGTACATTACTGGGTAATTTAATTGTGTGGGTTCATTAACATTTCCTGGGAAGCCAGAGCGGATTTATAGGAGTCTTAACAATCAATAGAAGTTCACAGCTGCAACACTGAGCCAATGACAAAGCCCGTTAGCCAACCCCCCCCCCCCCCCGAAACACAACCACCCACCAGCAACCAGAAGGTTCCTGGGCTGACGGATGGGTAATGCACAGGGACTCACAGTGGGGCACGTCTGCCCCCTGGGACACGCCCTTCACAGTCAGGCCCGCGGCACGATATGGGACATGGAGACCAAGCAGGGATGGAAAGACTTTCTTGGGAATCTCTCTCTGGGAATAGCAAGCGGTGAAGAGGTCAGCGCAACATGAGCCCGAGATCCCTATAATAAAGAAGTGCTTTCAGTAAACAGACTGCATGAGGGAGAGGAGCGGGAAAGCAGCATGGAGCAGGCGCCTGCAACAGGAAATCTGATTGGAGAGTACCAGACATCCAGTCAGCAAGAAGGCCTGTAATTGGTCGGCATCCATTCACTACCCAAAATGCATATCCAGTGCAGGGCCACAGTGACTCTGGAATCCACGGCAGGGTGGAGTTACATGGTGAATGGGATGTCAGGCCACCACAGGGTGAACACGTGCAGAGACTGGGATTCAGAGGTCAACATTTGCGAAAACAATTCTGGATGCCTTGAGAGACACACACACACACATACACACACACACACACACACTTTAGTGTGCTCCCCTCTCTCTTATTTACTGAAGACCTCCATTTGCATTTAAGAAAGAACACGCTGTCCCGCTGTGTCACCCAGGGGGTGCGTTAAGCTCCTCTGCCTCCGGGGAGCATGTCTTCCAGCACAGTAATTACGGTACCGGGGGACGGAGACACACGGACCCTCCCGACAGGTGCGGTGGAGGGGGGGGGCGCTAGCAAGGCGGCTGACGTTTATCCCCAAGCTGCTAATGAGCATGCTCTAATCAGGCCTTGTTTTCGTCTGCTGTGCCTCGCGGCCATTTCGTGGCGAGGCGGTGAGGCCGTCTGAAACGGGGGTCTCTCGAATGAACATGAAGCCCATAGTCTGTAGGTACAGAGGGTGTTGGGTCTCATCCCGCAAACAGGGATGACCTCCACCAATCTCCCCCCAGTGCACAGACAGATACGGATCCCCCCCTCCCCCACCAAATCGACTCCCCCTGTGTTTCATAACAGAGGCTATTAAAAAATAAAAACGGATGGTCTTAACTTCAGCTCTGGGCTGTTTGTATTTTGTTTTTATGCACATTAAAACCGTGTGTTTCTCATTCATTTAAAATGGAATATCCTCATGTGTTTTCAGTTTAAGCTGCGGGGGGGGCACTTTAATAAAGCCATCGGCCTCCTTGCAACGCTATGTTCATCTCCGTGTGTCGCCCACTCACACCACCTGCCTCCTCTCTCATACTCGTGACCAAGTTTATTTCTTGTTACTTTGTTAGGGGGTGGGGGGTAAAGGGAATCCAAAACAGACACTCCCCCTTTTCGTGACACAGGCCACACTGGTCACCAGGCTGGCGACAGCCTATTAGCAATAATAATAAAAAGCCAGTGCACACCCAGTGAGCTGCAAACAATAATAGCATTATACCTCCTCCCCGCCACACGGGGGCACTCTACTGTACACTCTACTGTTACAACCAGCTCCCATCCAATGCGCTACCTGGCTCATTTCCCAAAAACATTCCATCTTTCCCAGGAAAAAACAAACTTCCAAGCTCCGATCTGCTTTCTTCATCCCAGATAAACACCCTCACGTACGTGACCCGGTCGAAGACTGTTAACCCCCCCCCCCCTCCCCCCAGCTCAATTCCAGAGTCAGTGACTCAGAACAGAATCACGCCATCACCAG